GCAGGACACCAGCCTTCGAGGCCTGGAGGTCCCCCACCCCTGATCTAATTAAACAAAGGTGACTTATTTTGCACCTTGTGGTGCAAAATGGAATTACACGAATTACATAAAAGTACAGCTCTGCCTATTTAACTTCAGTTGATATCGCTTCAACACAACACATGCTGTAGCTGTTTTCTCCCCAGAGTGGAAGATTGCCAAAAAATTAAAACTCTGACAAACACCTTCATGCTAATAAAAAAAACATTTTTTTCTGGAGTCAACCAAAAATGTCAAGTGTCTTTCTTAGCAGCTCCAGGAAATGATCCAGTTTTAGCTGAATTTAGCTGCCAGCGTCATGTATCAAAAACATCCTTCAGCTTGTTTACCTCCTGTATTCAGACGGTGTTTCCTCAGAGCGGAGCTGAGCCGGACGCTGAGCTCATTTTGTGACTGAAACATTCAGATTTTCTCATCAGTCAAAGTTAAAACTATCCCTGCATACGGTGCCAGCTACTGCTCTGCACCTCATAATAAAAGCAGCAGTGGTGGTGCACACACACACACACTTTGATCCTCTTTCTTAATGGTGGGGAGATGAATCAGAGGCCATTCAAGACACAAACATGGCACTCAGAAAATCTACTTTTAAGTGCAGCTTATCATCCACCAAACAGTCAGAGGTAGTCGAACTGAATCAGGTTCAGTGGCCTGAAAAATCTGATAAAAAAAACCTCCAAATATCATCCATCCATCCATCCATCCTCCATCCATCCATCCATCCATCCATCCATCCATCCATCCATCCATCATCCATCCCATCCATCCTCTTTCTTCCGCTTATCCGGGGCCGGGTCGCGGGGGCAGCAGCCCAAGCAGAGAAGCCCACACCTCCATCTTCCCAGCCATCCATCATCCATCCATCATCCATCCATCCATCCATCCATCCCTCCATCCTCCATCCATCCATCCATCCATCCATCCTCCATCCACATCACTTCTGGGGTCTCTTCTCCCCCAGGAGGTGCTCAGGAGGTATCCTGGTCTGATACCTGAATCATGGAGGAAAAGTGGCTCTGCATGGCCGAGCTCAGCAGCCTGTCTCTCCCGGAGAGTCCGGGCACCCATCAGAGGAAGCTCATTTCTGACATGTTTTGTCTCACTCTGAGCTCGTGATCAGAGAATCATAGATCCACAGCTGCACTCGGCTTTACTCTCTCCTCACAACAGCAGGCAGTGTCCACATCGCTGCACCAGTTCGTCTGTCCATCTCTGCTCCACCCACTCCTCCCTCATTTATCAGACCTGAGTATTCAACTTGTGCAGACACATGTTGCCAAGCCAGAATTCCACCGTGTGAGCTGGAGGCCACCACCTGATGGAGCCAAAAAACCTATCATCCACAAAAACAGAGACTAGATTCTGAGACCACCGAACCAGACGACCTACACCTTTGGGCGGGATCCTGGTGGAGACCAGGACCAGGTGTAGGTGATATGAGACAGGTTCTCAGTTTGGTTGTCTGTGGAAGTTCTCAGTCATTCAAGTCGCAGAGTGGTCCAAAGCAATTCAACTGGAGGCAGCTGGACAAAAATGCAAAGATTTCATATTTGTGTGTTTTGTGTAGATCACAGCAAAACAAGAGAAACAAACAAACAAACAAACAAACAAACAGAAGAAGAAGAAGAATTTTGTCTGTCTGAACAAATCTGTAGATTAAGTTTAATGAATGTTTCGTTGATGAGTCAGCGGTGACACCTAAACCCCGGGAATCTGAATTATTATTATTATTATTATTAATAATAAGATAAAGAGCAGATGAAGATGACTTCTCCTCCTTACATGTGGAACACAGAGGTTTGGCTATCAGACGCCTACTCAGTGTCAAACTACCACAGACAAGCAGAGCTCTACAGGAAATGAGTCAGTTTTACCTTTCAGATTTAAAGCATGATTTAATCACCTGTGAAATAAAAGGACTGTTCCCACTGTTACTTCACAGCAGTGAGGTCCTGGGTTCAAATCCACCTTCTGGCCTTTCTGTGTGGAGGCTGCATGTTCTCTCTCTCTGGGTCCAAATGCAGTCGGTGGGCCCTGAAATGGACATGAGTAACAAATACTGGAAGCCTTCAAACATCTAGTCTAGATACATTAATACGTAGAACATGAATCTGCTTCACACATCAGAGTTAAATAAGGCATCCTGTGTGTGTGTGTGTGTCAGAGCAGTGACGAATGTCAGTCTGGATAAATGAAGCTGTGCTGTAGATGTACGTACAGTTAAAGATACTCGAACAGCTGCAGCTTTTCCTGAACTGAAACTCAGGAAGAAAAAATTAAATCTGCAATAAAAGATATTTTTGAGACGCTGCCCCCTGGTGGCGAAAGTGAAATTCTGCAGAGGGTGACTGCAAAAAGTACCTTTAACAACCCCCCACCCCCACCCCCAATTCACATACACGGGAGGGTTGGGGCCACAGGTTTTATTTTGAAAGTCCAGAGCGGAAGCTGCAGCTTTCGTGTACGTGCTGCTTCACGCTGGTCCTCGGCAGTGAGAGCGAGGCAGGCAGGCTGCACGCCGCTAGGAGCCCGGAGACACTTTCCCGGAGGCACGGAGTCCCGCCGCGCGGCTCTCGGTACTTTGGGGTCGTTTCGGTCTCTGCTTCGGGGTGTGGACTCGGGGCAGACTTGGCGGGACCGGATCCCGGTGCGAGGCGGACTGGAGTACCCCCGATGGTGCATCTCCACAGGAGCGCATAGGAGCCCAGGACGAGTCTCCCCTGAAGGTAAGGTGTTCGTTTCCCCCTTCACGAATCCACGCGGCGCGGCTCAGACGCGTCCACGCGCGCAGGTCGCTCCCACGTCCGCCCAGCCGGGCTCGCGCTACTGATGCGCGCAAAGCCAGCGCACAGGGCGGCCGTGGGCTTCGCGGTTAGAAAGTTGGAAAGAGTGCGCAACACTCCCGCGCGGAGGGGCGCAAATGCGCAGGTGAGTGCGCCCGTGTGCGCCTGAGAGAGCTGCTGCTTCAGTTCACAGACACCATCACAGCAGCTGCTGGGATTCTCCATCATTATTCATTTTCTGCTGACTGCGGCTTTATTGGATGTTCTGTCCGCAGAGCTCAGCGTGAGTTTGCACTCATATCTATTTAAGAAGCCGTGGCCGAGTAACCAGGTTTGAACCGCAGAGATTTTATGGATCGATACGTTTGTATTACAAGCAGCTTTGTCTAATTCCAAATTAATTATGAGGCAAAGTGAGAAAGTGGCCCCGATGCTCCGCAGCCGTACGGAGCGCAAACCGTCCTCACTCTGTGCGCCGTAATTAGTTGAAATGATCTGTGTGGCGACAACACAAAGACAACAACAAATCGAGCGGAAGTGATTATTTCCATCTGATAAGAGAAGTAAACTGTAGTTCGGTGGAGGTTTAAACGGAGTGACGTAGAGTTAAGCTGTACAACAACGTCAAAACATAGACTGTACATAAAAGATGGGTGTAGGCCGGGGTCTCGTTGCAGAGGGATGGAGGGGGACAGTAACTGTGCTCCTGTATGAGTGTCCCGTGTCTCTGTGGTTACTGTGGCCGGAGTCCTTGCTCTGCAGCCACGGGGAGCCACAGAACCACAACTCCCATCATCATCATGAGCAGCTGTAGTCTGTGGAGTCTCTCCAACCAACCGTGGGTTGAGCGGATTGAGACGTGAGAAAAGAAGGATCTGGTTAGCTGGTTAGCGGCAACTAAATTTTCAAAATAAGAGCAAAAAGACTGTCATCAATTTCAGTGAAATCATAAAAATGAATAGAAGAATGTCCCGATGTAAAGTCTACATGTGGGAAACACTGAGTGTTGTGGATGAAATTGTGGGGCCCACAGGAAGGTTTTGCCCTGGGGTTTGTTAGTTATTTAGCCCGGCCCTGTTCACTGTAGTTGCTGACTGCTGCTATTTCCACTTCCTGTACAGGTATGGCACAGAGACCCCGATTTGGGGGGCAAACCCAGATGAAGATGGAGTCGTTTACCTTCTGCAGGACTGTCCTCATCTTCTTCATGTTTCCGTGTGTCCAGGTAATGAAAGCAGTGTGGACAGAGTTCTACTTTTATTCTACTTTTATACAGTCACCACCCTCACTGGTGCACAAAAACATGGAGCCAATCAGAGCGGAGAAAGTCAGGGTTCAGACGCGCTGTGCACACAGCCTCTGACGTTAGCTCTGCTGCTTAATTCGAGCTGACCCGTCCAAATCAAATAGTTTGCACAGGTCGAGAGGCTGCCGGGCAGAGCGGCGAGCCGGCTGCAGTCTTTGTACACGAGCACGAGCTGGGGTAAATGTCACCTCCTTATATGAAGCAATTGCGAGCGCAGGATTTTCTCTGGCAAATATAGTAGCTGGTTAATCCCTGACAACAGGCTGCTGTGGAGCCGGTGCTCTCCATGATCAGCTCTGCAAAGAGGTCTTTATTTGGAACCCGCTGGCGTGTTAGCGAGAGCAAAAACAAACACATTGCTGTATTTTTTACTTTGTTACCGAGTTCCCTGCTGTGCCTGAACCCTTTAGGGAAGAACAGATATTTGTTCCATCTATTTTCAGGGCGCTGGGACTTCAAACCTTGCAGTGTTTACTATTGATCGCTTTGCTATTCTGGTGAACTGGAAGTTTAGATTTGAAGGCTGAGTCAGGCTGCTCATAGAGACAGATGCAATTTATGCTTTTATGTTTTTAAACAAATTGTCACTAGGAGTGAATGTGCGAGTGAATGTGAGTGTGAATGGTTGTCTGTCCCTGTGTGTTGGCCCTGCGACAGACTGGCGACCTGTCCAGGGTGTACCCCGCCTTTCGCCCTATGACAGCTGGGATAGGCTCCAGCGCCCCCCGCGACCCTGAAAAGGATAAGCGGAAGCGAATGGATGGATGGATGGATGTTTTTAAACATAAAATGAAGCCGATTGAACAAGAAAGAAACGATGCAGTAAATGCCGTAAATGTTGGTGTAAAACGGTGAAAATCAGGAAAAGTCAGCCGGCCTGTGCACATCAAAGCCTTTCAAGTACCTCCAGCAGCATGACTTTTTAAATGTTTTGTAGGTGGAGCTGAACTGGAGGCAGTCGCAGTGTCTGTACCAAAGAAAACCCAAAGATTTATAAATATGTTAAGGTTTAATGTGCAGGCTGGTAGGTGGTGCAGAGGACTGATGTGCTACCTACAGCGCTGCTCACGGCTTGGGCATAAAATGCAGCAGTACAAGATGTGAGCTGTGACAAACAGGACAAATTATAAAGTGATGGATGTCTAACAGTTAGAAGCTAAACTGCTGCATGTGTTGGAGAAAGTTTACAGTAAAAAACAAACGTGCCATCGTCAGTGATCCAAACACAAATGGAAAACTGTGTTTTCCATTTGTGTTTCCAGAAGCGTGAGGAACACCCTGTGTCGCTTACAGTAGGTTCAGATGCTGCGTGACGGCACAACGACTTCTTCAGCTACGTGTTTAAACGGCTCTCCTCCGTACAGCCAGCATTCTGCTTTTTAATGTTCGAGTGCAGATGAAGAGAACAGGCGACACTATCCCACCTTAGTGGAGTCTGTAGGTTACTCAAAGGGTGTGGATGTACTCTGCCCCATCTGACCTCCATAATTAGATCTCACATGTGAGCAGACCTTTGGTAATTTAATAAATAACATACGGAGTTATTAAGGTGTTGATGGATGGATTCATGGATGAATGTATGGAATTGAATGATGAATGGATGGACAGATGGGTGGGGTGGCAGACGGATGGACAGATGGACAGATTCATGGATGGATGGATAGATGGGGTGGCAGTAAACCAGAAGATTGTTGGCTGCTCTCAGTCTGCACGGGCAGGAGAGTGACCCAGGTTTCCCTCCGATGCGTCCTCGGGAGTCTGGATGTGTGAGTGTTGGTTAGGAAGCACTGAGATAGAAGCAGCAGTCCAGAGAAGCTGATGAAGGTAAAGCTGAGATTCTTTTTGTTGGCTCCATGCAGATGTTCTGCTGTTATTGTGTCAGAGCCGCTTTGTTCACCGCCAAGGATACTGTCATTGTTAGAAACGTGTGATATATTTTGCAGGGTCCCCATAATGCTTTCCCATTAATTCTGGATGACAGAGGCATGTTACGATTGTTGACAGCTTTAATTTCTTTCCAAAATTCAATAGAATCATTCTGCTGCAGCTTTCTGGTCCTGGAAGTTACCCTCGTGCTCATCGTCTCAGTAAAGCACACAGCATATTTATGTGATGATCATTAATAAATTAATGTACACCATCAATCAAAAACCTCTTGTGATTTTCCAAAATGTGATGTCAGCAGTTTGGGACCCAAAAATTTCTCACGTTCTTTTTGTTTCTTCGACTTTATTTGGGGTTTATGTGAGTTTTGTTTTTCGTAGTTTGAAGCCTTAAACTTGCATTTTGTCTCGAGGCCAGCAGGGGGCGAGTCCTCTTCCTGTAAAAAATAAGATCGATAGCGTAGAAGCGTATGGGAAAACGTCCCTTGGTCCTTCTTCAGTCCTGTTCGCGTCAGAGAGGATCCAGCGTTTGCTCAGGTCATGCAGTTTCAGGAAGATGGAGACCGTCTAAAGGCTTTAAGACCCAGTGGGTGACGTCAGGGTGGACGCGCATTGTTGCTGCTCTGGTCTTCCCTTTCACATCATTGTCCTTCCAGTCAGGGTGCAATTCTCGCGACCATCATACTCTTCTTTATGCTCCATTTTTATGACTTTATCAGATGAGATACAAACTGTGCTGACAGCGACATCAGAGAGAGCGGCTGTTCCTGATTAATACATCAGCACATTTCCAAATGCATTTGTCTCTTTGCTGTCAGTGGCCCGTGTCCGACTGATTATTATCACAGTGCTTTTTCACCATCTGCTCCTTTATCTGAGTCTGAAAACACACTCAGATCTGCAAAAATCCCATAAAAAGCCGACAGTGCTCAGCGCAAACCTGCTGCTGCTGACAGGATCTAATTAGTACCACAGCTGCAGGACTCTAATGTGTAAATAATAAAGACTGAGAGATGTGTGAGGTCCACAGATGCTGGTTTTGTATTGAAGGTGCTTTTAGCAGAAGGTAATCGATGACGAGCTGACACGCCGTTATTGCAGAGTAATGTTCAGACCATCTTTTATCTCAGGAAAGCGACACAGTCCCAGGTGAAAAACAACAGCCTGTGGGCTGTGGGCTGTCATTGTCATTGTCAATTGTCATTGTCCTTGGATTTATTTTGATGATTCACCATCCAAATTTCTATAAACGTCAGTACAGACTGCTCTACAAATGCATCTGGCACTGTTTGGAGTCAGCTGATATGAGGGATTGGCTGCAGACTGCACTGATTGGTGTCTTTGGAGCAGCAGATGGATGAACCCTCTGAGAGAGGCCCAGCTCGTGGCTCTGTGACCACGTTAGCCGTGCGATCATTTATTATCGCCTCTCTGCTAAAACTCACCGAACACAAACACATCGTCAGAAAATGGATCGAGTGTTGTGAAAATGAAAGTGTGTGGTCACACTTTGACACCTGAAAAGTACCCAAAAAATGAGCTTGATTTGATGTTTTTGTATTTGATACAAAATTAAGCTACTGTGGAACCACTGACGTCCAGCAGAGGGAGCAGTGAGTCAGGCCCCATAGACTCCCATGTTAAAACTTAGCCTGATACACAAACTGCTTGGTCTCTGTAGATAATTCCCTCTTTATAACAACTGCACAGTTTATTTAACTCGCCAGTCTAAATTATATTAAGGCTTAAAGTTTGTATTGTTAGGGGCGTGGCCTCTTTGACTGACAGGTGGATGGTCACACAGGTGGCTGAGCTGGGCCTCTGGACTGTGTTTGTGCTGTTGGAGCATTTTGATGCCCCTTTACAGTCTATGGATGCAGCTAGCTAGCATTAGCTGATAACGCCTCACAGTCTCATCGTCTGTTTTGGCTCCAGAAGTCAGTGGTTGCAACTGTAACGCTAACGTGGGTGCAATATGTGTCAGCGGAGGCCCTGGCGGACCGATCCCCGGCTACCAAGACTAACAGCTGGGACGTGGAACGTCAGCACGTGTGACCCGTGTTACCTATTTCAATCTGTTTGTCAGTTACTTCTGGTTAACTGTGTTAGCTGTCCTTCTCAGACCCGTTGGTGTTTCTGTTTTCACATTAGTTCAGCTCATCTTCACTACAGTCAGACGACAGACGTGATCAGTCTGTTTTTTAAACGTGTTTCTATCAGCAAAGGTTTTTTGTGCTTTCTGTATATGAATCAGTGGCAGTGTGAGTTTCAGTGTGTGGGTCAGTGCAGAGAGTGCACAGGTGTGTTTGAGATGTTGATGTTCCACAGACTGTGAGTCTCGTTTCTTTTCCATCTGCCAGAAATAAAAAGTTTCCATTGTGAAGCTGACTTTTTAAGGGAAGGGTGCAGGAGCAGTTTGGGTACAGTGGATGTAAGGTGGGGGCGATTGGCTGTAAATGAGACTGGGGGTGCTGGCGGCGGAGGGTTGGTGCACGCTTGGCTGGCTGCGTGGATTATCACAGGCAGATGTGGGAATCACAATCACGGCTGATTGCCTTTCACTGTCCGGGTGTTTCTGTTGACGTGCTGTAAGATTTAGAGCCTCAGCTGTTCACAGACCTTTTCCTTTTCCTGGGTTTGACCTAACGTAAGACAGAGCTTTGGGGGGGGGGAGGAGAAAGTAAAAGAAAAAGTGACAGAACGAGCGCCTGCTGGTCTGCTTCCTCGGGGCCCGGTCTTCCTGGTACCAGCCTCTTCCTGTCATCCTTCAACCTCTGTGTGGGGACAGCTGTTCAAATGCAGCTCACCTACATCACAAACGCTGAGTTTTTCCACCTCTCCCACCCTCACCCACACCAGCTTCCTCCCTCCAGCCCCTGTGCTCACAAACAACAACCGGACGAAATCACCGAGCCCTTTCTTTCACCCCGCTCTGAAAACAGCATTGTCTGTGATGCCAGCGAGCTATGAGGTATGGCTGTGAGGAATGCAGTTTGCTGCTGCCATTGTGTGTAGAAATGATGACAGAGGTGGAGG